TGGCTGTCCTACCGCCTGCTCAAGGCCAGCGAGCCGGGACTCTTCGCGGTGGGGCTGCACACCGGCGAGGTGCGCACGGCGCGGGCCCTGCTGGACAGAGACGCGCTCAAGCAGAGCCTTGTGGTGGCCGTCCAGGACCACGGCCAGCCCCCTCTCTCGGCCACCGTCACGCTCACCGTGGCTGTGGCCGACAGCATCCCCGAAGTCCTGGCGGACCTCAGCAGCCTCGAGTCTCTGGCTAACTCTGGAACCTCAGACCTCACTCTGTACCTGGTGGTAGCGGTGGCTACGGTCTCCTGCGTCTTCCTGGCCTTCGTCATCGTGCTGCTGGCGCTCAGGCTGCGGCGCTGGCACAAGTCACGCCTGCTGCAGGTTTCAGGAGGCGGCTTGACAGGGGTGCCCGGCTCGCACTTTGTGGGCGTGGACGGGGTGCGGGCTTTCCTGCAGACCTATTCCCACGAGGTCTCCCTCACCGCGGACTCGCGGAAGAGTCACCTGATCTTCCCCCAGCCCAACTACGCTGACACGCTCATCAGCCGGGAGAGCTGTGAGAAAAAGGATCCTTTGTCTTTGTTAAATGATTCGAAGTTTCCTTTAGAGGATACCCCATTGGTTCCAGTGAGTTTTACTTTTATTTTTACTCTTTTTCTGTTGTTAAAAAAGATTGGTTTTACTTTTAAGTTTGCAGCATGATAGTGGAAAGTGCAAATGCTAAAACACTGATGAGTAGAATTTGATGTTTATTAAGGGTTTTTTTTTAACTTTCTGGTAAAATTCACCTAGTCTCAATCAAGGCCTGTATGTCATCAGGCTTTGTTATGATTAGCTTTGCAGAACCTTGTAGTTTATAGTGTTGTTGAGTACAATATTGACAATTCTTAAGACAGACTTCCATACAGAAGTGTCTGTCGATTTATATTTCCTCCTGGGTGGTCACACATTGAAACTCCAGCCCCTTAAGCATCCCTCTTGTTCTGAAGGCAGTCTGGTAAGAATAGGTAAGTATCAGAAAGAAATGGTCTCTGGAAACACAACCCAAATCCAAGATTACTCAACGCAGTTCTTCCCAAGGAGAAGAGCAATAGGCCTTTTCCAAACTACCTTTTATATGTTTTTAAATTTATACTTTGTGGTGATAGTTGCAGTTGAATATACTGTTTTTCATTAATATTGAATTAACTTATTTATAACAATGTATACTTAGATTTTTCCTGCCCTATTTATACCTGATAACACTGAAGCATCCTTTTTGCATACAATTCTCTAATTTCCCACTACTATGTGGAAGATACAGCATTTTAATGTAACTTGTGTTGCTCAGTAGGGATCCTGAAGAGGCTATAGAGGGTGAAATTAGAACATTTGGGGTTCTGCTTTTGTCTTTTTTGTTAAATGTTCTAATCACTAAGGCTGAAAGTAAATATGGATTGGGAAGACAGATAAATTTGTACATGTTCCCAAGAGCAGGAGCAACAGATATATGACAAAGCTATTTCAGTGGCTGTTTAATGTATAGGGAGGCAAACACCTGAAACTCTGAAAATTCTGAAATTGAGAGGCAAAATAAACTTAGAGTCAAGAAAGAAATGCCATTTCTGCAGATCAGAATATAAGCACCAAAAATAAAAAAGAAAATAATATATGCAAATAAGTAAGGGAAATTACCTAAACAAAGGATCAGTGGAGGTACTGATGAGTTCATTTAGTTCAATGAAAATAGTGATGTATTAGGTTGATCTCTTAATTTCATTACTAATATTCTACTGAATGTGGTAGCATAAGGTCAAAAAGCATTCCAAAGTTTCTCAAGACCCTTTGAAGACCATGACTTTTTTCAGGCCAGTCAACATTTGTTCAGTGATAGGTCTGTGGAAGGAAAGCACACTCTTTAGGATCATAGTTATTAACTATTAAACCTTTGAAACTATTATTTCATATTTGTGTTCATAAGAGTCAAAATTATTGTGCATTCATCTCAAATGAAAAATACAGATTTTTTTTAAACTACTCTTTTGACATTGTAGCTATTGTAAGAAAATATTTTTAAATATGGTTATTTAAAAGCAATACAGGACACCCTGGATGATGGTAATGACTAGAGCAATGGTTACATTCCAGTACTTAAATATGAAATTAGGAATTATTACTTTCTAGGTGAATATAGGTTAGAATTGAAGACAAAAAAAAAATGTTGCTTATCTTCAGTACTTCCAGCTTCATAGATAATTACTCTTAAAAGGAACAAGAATGACTGCCTCTGGATGGAGGAAGTGGAGAGCAATGGGCCATAGGATAGGAGACCTATAAACCTTCATGCTATATTCTTTTGTGCCTCTTTAAATTTTGAAGAAAAAATATTCATTTATTCAAGATATATGTAAATTTTAGTACATAAAAAGATAAGCTAGTTATGACCACGTGGAAATATATTTCCTGATGTAAAGGAATCACTGAGGAATAAGGTTCAAATATTTTGGTTGTCAACTCAAAAAATTCCTTGAGATAAAGTCAAGCTGCAGTCCCACACGGAGCCTCTGGGCGCCGCTGTCGGCCAGTGCAGAGCAAGCGCTGACGCCGGGGATCCCTCAGCCTCTAGCCTAGGCTTCCCTGCGCAGCCAACAACAGAAAGAAGAAAACCAGCACACACGCAGAGGCTCCCGGCTGGGCAGACTTTGCCCAGCACACCAGATTCCCAGCTCCGAGACCCGGGACTCCTCCTGTCCTGGGCCGAATGCTCTTTTAGCGCGGTAGAGTGCACTTTCTCCAGCTGGAAAAGCGGGGACCCAGCGAGAACCCAAGCGAACGATGGGAGGGAGCTGCGCGCAGAGGCGCCGGGCCGGCCCGCGGCAGGTACTATTTCCCTTGCTGCTGCCTTTGTTCTACCCCGCGCTGTGTGAGCCGATCCGCTACTCGATTCCGGAGGAGCTGGCCAAGGGCTCGGTGGTGGGGAACCTCGCTAAGGATCTTGGGCTCAGTGTCCTGGATGTGTCGGCTCGCAAGCTGCGAGTTAGCGCGGAGAAGCTGCACTTCAGCGTAGACGCGGAGAGCGGGGACTTACTTGTGAAGGACCGAATAGACCGTGAGCAAATATGCAAAGAGAGAAGAAGATGTGAGTTGCAACTGGAAGCTGTGGTGGAAAATCCTTTAAATATTTTTCATATCATTGTGGTGATTGAGGATATTAATGACCACGCCCCTCAATTCCAGAAAGATGAAATAAACTTAGAAATCAGTGAATCTGTCAGCCCGGGAATGGGAACAATTCTTGAGTCTGCAGAAGATCCTGATATTAGTATGAATTCGCTGAGCAAATACCAACTAAGTCCTAACGAGTATTTCTCATTGGTGGAGAAAGACAATCCTGATGGTGGCAAATATCCAGAATTAGTATTGCAGAAGACTCTGGACCGAGAAACGCAGAGCGCTCACCACTTGGTACTGACTGCCTTAGATGGTGGGGACCCTCCCCGAAGCGGTACTGCTCAGATAAGAATCCTGGTAATAGATGCCAATGACAACCCCCCAGTGTTCAGCCAGGACGTGTACAGGGTCAGCCTACGAGAAGACGTGCCTCCAGGCACCTCCATCCTGAGAGTGAAGGCCACTGACCAGGACGAGGGCATCAACTCGGAGATCACTTACTCCTTCCTTGGTGTGGCTGACAAAGCTCAGCACGTGTTCTCTCTGGATTACGCTACAGGAAACATTCTAACTCAGCAGCCTTTGGATTTTGAAGAAGTGGAAAGATATACGATGAACATAGAGGCAAAAGACCGAGGATCTCTCTCAACACGTTGTAAAGTAATTATAGAAGTTCTAGACGAAAATGACAACAGCCCAGAAATAATCATCACGTCACTCCCTGATCAGATTATGGAGGATTCCCCTCCAGGAGTGGTTGTTGCCCTCTTCAAAACACGGGACCGAGACTCAGGGGAAAATGGGGAAGTCAGGTGTAGTTTAAGTAGAGGTGTTCCATTTAAGATTCATTCTTCTTCTAATAATTACTACAAGCTAGTAACAGATGGGGCCCTGGATCGGGAGCAGACCCCAGAGTACAACGTCACCATCGCAGCCACCGACAGGGGCAAGCCTCCGCTCTCCTCCAGCAAAACCATAACCCTGCACATCACTGACGTCAACGACAACGCGCCCGTTTTCGGACAGTCCGCCTACCTGGTCCATGTGCCAGAAAACAACCAGCCAGGTGCCTCCATAGCGCAAGTCAGTGCCTCTGACCCAGACTTCGGGCCCAATGGCCGTGTCTCCTACTCTCTCGTTGCCAGCGACCTGGAGTCACGAACGCTGTCGTCCTACGTGTCCGTGAGCGCGCAGAACGGGGTGGTGTTCGCGCAGCGCGCCTTTGACCACGAGCAGCTGCGCGCCTTCGAGCTCACGCTGCAGGCCTGCGACCAGGGCTCGCCCGCGCTCAGCGCCAATGTGAGCCTGCGCGTGTTGGTGGGCGACCGTAACGACAACGCACCGCGGGTGCTGTACCCTGCGCTGGGTCCCGACGGCTCCGTGGTCTTCGACACAGTGCCGCGGGCCGCACAGCCAGGCTACCTGGTGACCAAGGTGGTGGCCGTGGACGCCGACTCGGGGCACAATGCCTGGCTGTCCTACCACGTGGTGCATGCCAGTGAGCCCGGGCTCTTCAGCCTGGGGCTGCGAACTGGCGAGGTGCGCATGGCGCGTGCTTTGGGTGACAAGGACTCGGTCCGCCAGCGCCTGCTAGTCGCTGTAAGAGATGGAGGACAGCCACCTCTTTCAGCCACTGCCATGCTGCACCTGGTGTTCGCAGATAGCTTGCAAGAGGTACTGCCGGATTTCAGCGACCGTCCCACACCCTCTGACTCCCAGGCTGAGATGCAGTTTTACCTGGTGGTGGCCTTGGCCTTGATTTCTGTGCTCTTTCTACTCGCGGTGATTCTAGCTATCGCTCTACGCCTAAGACAGTCTTTCAGCCCTACTGCAGGGGGCTGCTTTGAGTCAGTTCTCTGCTCCAAGTCCGGACCTGTGGGTCCCCCCAGCTACAGTGAGGGAACGTTGCCCTATGCCTATAATTTTTGTGTGCCTGGGGATCAAATGAATCCTGAATTTAATTTCGTCACATCTGTTGATCATTGTCCAGCCACACAAGATAACTTCAACAAAGATAGCTCTTCCATGCTACTGGCTAGCATTTTAACTCCTAGCTTGGAAGCAAATAAGATTCTTAAACAGGTAAGTATTTAAAAATGTGTTTAATCCTTTTTATATTACAATATGCCAATATATTTCAATAAAGTGATATTATTTTAAGATTCTAGATAACCTCTTCATAGAGTTCCCAAAATATAGGTCAAATTTATGGCTATCATTGTTAAAACAAAAGTTTAAATTAAATGCCTCAATCTTCCTACTATTCAAAGACATTTTAAGGCCATCTACATGGGTAATCTCTGGTGACATTTTTTATGAAATAAAATACCTTTTGGTTAAAAATATAAAATACAGGTATATTTTCACGGCATGGTATTTTAATTGAAACCCTGATGCTATTCAATTTTTCTCAAGTGTTTCATTTACTCAATAAAGGAACACTTGTAAGAATTATAGTTAGGCATCCTACCTGATGATTTTATCGGGACCATGTTATTTCCACTTCCAGAAATGTCGTTCTTTTCAGTCGGTTAAAATCAATTGGAACCAATTATAACCTACAAGTTTTCAGCTCCAGTAATATTTTGAAAACTTTCTTAAAATTAAGCAAGTCCTTTTAATAATTACTCCTTTCGTGGGTGTTCTTGGTAAAGTTTTAACATCACATAATATAAGCATTGTGTATAATCGTTTTTAAGCTCTACAAATACGTGAGATTCACGAAGAGGTGAGCGTAATCATTTCTTCTGGGATTTCTTAGTCGTTGCAATAATAAGAATGGGCTCTAGGCGCCGCTGTTCACCAATCAGGGAATGGGAAGCTGCGCGCTATTGAGTCCCTCCCTCCCCCGCCTCTACCACACAAAGCAGAATGAGATGGGTACTTACTGGAGACTTAGAAGTATTTTCCTGCGCTTTCTGATGTATTTTGGATGCAGTCGGCCTAGGACTTCATAGATACATAAACCGATTCACAACCAACCAGCTCGAGAAATCGCGGAATATCGGCTTAGAGCCTGCCATGGCGAATCGGCTACAGCGCCTGGACCGCAGTGGGCTGGTGCTGCTGTGCATTTTCCTGGGGACGCTGCGGGGGTTCCGGGCCGGGCAGATCCGATATTCGGTGCCCGAAGAAACCGAAAAAGGCTACTTCGTGGGCAATATCTCCAAGGACCTGGGGCTGGAGCCCCGGGAGCTGGCGAAGCGCGGAGTCCGCATCGTCTCCAGAGGGAAGACACAGCTTTTCGCTGTGAATCTGCGAAGCGGCAGTTTGATCACGGCAGGCAGGATAGACCGGGAGGAGCTCTGTGAGACGGTGTCCTCCTGTTTTTTAAATATGGAACTTCTCGTGGAAGACACCTTGAAGATTTACGGAGTGGAGGTGGAAATAATCGACATTAATGATAACGCCCCCAGCTTCCAGGAAGACGAAGTGGAGATAAAAGTCAGTGAGCACGCAATTCCTGGGGCGCGATTTGCTCTTCCTAATGCTAGGGATCCAGATGTGGGCGTGAACTCCCTCCAGAGCTACCAGCTCAGCCCCAATAGTTACTTTTCCTTGCAACTACGGGGCAGAATGGATGGGGCCAAGAATCCAGAGCTGGTACTGGAGGGAAGCCTGGACCGAGAGAAAGAGGCTGCTCACCTGCTCCTCCTCACAGCTTTAGATGGAGGCGATCCCATCCGAAAGGGCTCAGTTCCTATTCGTGTGGTGGTCCTCGATGTAAATGACCACATCCCAGTGTTTACACAGTCCGTATATCGCGTGAGCGTTCCAGAAAACATCAGCTCTGGAACTCGGGTGCTGGTGGTTAATGCAACGGATCCAGACGAGGGAATCAACGGGGAAGTAATGTATTCATTTCGGAACATGGAAAGCAAGGCTTCTGAAATATTCCAATTGGATTCACAAACTGGAGAAGTTCTAGTACGGGGGTCTCTGGATTTTGAAAAATATGGATTCTATGAGATGGAAATTCAAGGCCAAGATGGCGGAGGTCTCTTTACCACCGCGATGATGTTGATCACTGTTGTGGATGTGAATGATAACGCTCCAGAAATAACTATCACCTCTTCTATTAATTCAATTCTGGAAAACTCTCCTCCAGGTACAGTCATTGCTCTTCTAAATGTGCAAGATCAAGATTCTGGAGAAAATGGTCAAGTCTCCTGTTTTATTCCTAACCACTTGCCTTTTAAATTAGAAAAGACTTATGGAAATTATTACAAATTGATAACAAGCAGAGTGCTGGACCTGTCTCTTATACACATCTAGATGTGTATAAGAGACAGCTGCAGGCCAGCGAGCCCGGGCTCTTCAGCCTGGGGCTGCGAACGGGTGAGGTGCGCATGGCGCGTGCTTTGGGTGACAAGGACTCGGTCCGCCAGCGCCTGCTAGTCGCTGTAAGAGATGGAGGACAGCCACCTCTTTCAGCCACTGCCATGCTGCACCTGGTGTTCGCAGATAGCTTGCAAGAGGTACTGCCGGATTTCAGCGACCGTCCCACACCCTCTGACTCCCAGGCTGAGATGCAGTTTTACCTGGTGGTGGCCTTGGCCTTGATTTCTGTGCTCTTTCTACTCGCGGTGATTCTAGCTATCGCTCTACGCCTAAGACAGTCTTTCAGCCCTACTGCAGGGGGCTGCTTTGAGTCAGTTCTCTGCTCCAAGTCCGGACCTGTGGGTCCCCCCAGCTACAGTGAGGGAACGTTGCCCTATGCCTATAATTTTTGTGTGCCTGGGGATCAAATGAATCCTGAATTTAATTTCGTCACATCTGTTGATCATTGTCCAGCCACACAAGATAACTTCAACAAAGATAGCTCTTCCATGCTACTGGCTAGCATTTTAACTCCTAGCTTGGAAGCAAATAAGATTCTTAAACAGGTAAGTATTTAAAAATGTGTTTAATCCTTTTTATATTACAATATGCCAATATATTTCAATAAAGTGATATTATTTTAAGATTCTAGATAACCTCTTCATAGAGTTCCCAAAATATAGGTCAAATTTATGGCTATCATTGTTAAAACAAAAGTTTAAATTAAATGCCTCAATCTTCCTACTATTCAAAGACATTTTAAGGCCATCTACATGGGTAATCTCTGGTGACATTTTTTATGAAATAAAATACCTTTTGGTTAAAAATATAAAATACAGGTATATTTTCACGGCATGGTATTTTAATTGAAACCCTGATGCTATTCAATTTTTCTCAAGTGTTTCATTTACTCAATAAAGGAACACTTGTAAGAATTATAGTTAGGCATCCTACCTGATGATTTTATCGGGACCATGTTATTTCCACTTCCAGAAATGTCGTTCTTTTCAGTCGGTTAAAATCAATTGGAACCAATTATAACCTACAAGTTTTCAGCTCCAGTAATATTTTGAAAACTTTCTTAAAATTAAGCAAGTCCTTTTAATAATTACTCCTTTCGTGGGTGTTCTTGGTAAAGTTTTAACATCACATAATATAAGCATTGTGTATAATCGTTTTTAAGCTCTACAAATACGTGAGATTCACGAAGAGGTGAGCGTAATCATTTCTTCTGGGATTTCTTAGTCGTTGCAATAATAAGAATGGGCTCTAGGCGCCGCTGTTCACCAATCAGGGAATGGGAAGCTGCGCGCTATTGAGTCCCTCCCTCCCCCGCCTCTACCACACAAAGCAGAATGAGATGGGTACTTACTGGAGACTTAGAAGTATTTTCCTGCGCTTTCTGATGTATTTTGGATGCAGTCGGCCTAGGACTTCATAGATACATAAACCGATTCACAACCAACCAGCTCGAGAAATCGCGGAATATCGGCTTAGAGCCTGCCATGGCGAATCGGCTACAGCGCCTGGACCGCAGTGGGCTGGTGCTGCTGTGCATTTTCCTGGGGACGCTGCGGGGGTTCCGGGCCGGGCAGATCCGATATTCGGTGCCCGAAGAAACCGAAAAAGGCTACTTCGTGGGCAATATCTCCAAGGACCTGGGGCTGGAGCCCCGGGAGCTGGCGAAGCGCGGAGTCCGCATCGTCTCCAGAGGGAAGACACAGCTTTTCGCTGTGAATCTGCGAAGCGGCAGTTTGATCACGGCAGGCAGGATAGACCGGGAGGAGCTCTGTGAGACGGTGTCCTCCTGTTTTTTAAATATGGAACTTCTCGTGGAAGACACCTTGAAGATTTACGGAGTGGAGGTGGAAATAATCGACATTAATGATAACGCCCCCAGCTTCCAGGAAGACGAAGTGGAGATAAAAGTCAGTGAGCACGCAATTCCTGGGGCGCGATTTGCTCTTCCTAATGCTAGGGATCCAGATGTGGGCGTGAACTCCCTCCAGAGCTACCAGCTCAGCCCCAATAGTTACTTTTCCTTGCAACTACGGGGCAGAATGGATGGGGCCAAGAATCCAGAGCTGGTACTGGAGGGAAGCCTGGACCGAGAGAAAGAGGCTGCTCACCTGCTCCTCCTCACAGCTTTAGATGGAGGCGATCCCATCCGAAAGGGCTCAGTTCCTATTCGTGTGGTGGTCCTCGATGTAAATGACCACATCCCAGTGTTTACACAGTCCGTATATCGCGTGAGCGTTCCAGAAAACATCAGCTCTGGAACTCGGGTGCTGGTGGTTAATGCAACGGATCCAGACGAGGGAATCAACGGGGAAGTAATGTATTCATTTCGGAACATGGAAAGCAAGGCTTCTGAAATATTCCAATTGGATTCACAAACTGGAGAAGTTCTAGTACGGGGGTCTCTGGATTTTGAAAAATATGGATTCTATGAGATGGAAATTCAAGGCCAAGATGGCGGAGGTCTCTTTACCACCGCGATGATGTTGATCACTGTTGTGGATGTGAATGATAACGCTCCAGAAATAACTATCACCTCTTCTATTAATTCAATTCTGGAAAACTCTCCTCCAGGTACAGTCATTGCTCTTCTAAATGTGCAAGATCAAGATTCTGGAGAAAATGGTCAAGTCTCCTGTTTTATTCCTAACCACTTGCCTTTTAAATTAGAAAAGACTTATGGAAATTATTACAAATTGATAACAAGCAGAGTGCTGGACAGGGAGTTGGTCCAGAGCTACAATATAACGTTGACAGCCACAGACCAGGGAAGCCCGCCTCTGTCTTCAGAAACTCATATCTGGCTGAATGTGGCAGATGACAACGATAACCCTCCTGTTTTTCCTCACTCCTCTTACTTTGCCTATATTCCCGAAAACAACCCCAGGGGTGCCTCCATCTTCTCAGTGACTGCCCTCGACCCAGACAGCAAACAGAATGCCCTGGTCACTTACTCTCTGACGGATGACACTGTCCAGGGGGTGCCTCTATCCTCTTATGTCTCTATTAACTCCAACACTGGTGTTCTCTATGCCCTACAATCTTTCGACTATGAGCAGTTTCGAGACTTACAACTGAGAGTGATAGCACGTGACAGCGGGGACCCGCCCCTCAGCAGCAATGTGTCGCTGAGCCTGTTCGTGCTGGATCAGAACGACAATGCGCCTGAGATCCTGTACCCCGCCCTCCCCACAGACGGTTCCACTGGCGTGGAGCTGGCGCCCCGCTCTGCAGAACCTGGCTACCTGGTGACCAAAGTGGTTGCGGTGGACAAAGATTCAGGCCAGAACGCCTGGCTGTCCTACCGCCTGCTCAAGGCCAGCGAGCCGGGACTTTTCGCGGTAGGGGAGCACACGGGCGAGGTGCGCACGGTGCGGGCCCTGCTGGACAGAGACGCGCTCAAGCAGAGCCTCGTGGTGGCCGTCCAGGACCACGGCCAGCCCCCTCTCTCGGCCACCGTCACGCTCACCGTGGCTGTGGCCGACAGCATCCCCGAAGTCCTGGCGGACCTCGTCAGCCTCGAGTCTCTGGCTAACTCTGAAACCTCAGACCTTACGCTGTACTTGGTGGTGGCGGTGGCCGCAGTCTCCTGCATCTTCCTGGTCTTTGTCGTCGTGCTGCTGGCACTCAGGCTGTGGCGCTGGCATAAGTCACGCCTGCTACAGGCTTCTGAAGGTGGGCTGGCAGGTATGCCCACCTCACACTTCGTAGGCGTGGACGGGGTGCAGGCTTTCCTGCAGACCTATTCCCACGAGGTCTCTCTCATTGCGGACTCGCAGAAGAGTCACCTGATTTTCCCCCAGCCCAACTATGGGGACACGCTCATCAGCCAGGAGAGCTGTGAGAAAAGCGAACCACTCTTGATAGCTGAAGACTCAGCTATCATTTTAGGCAAATGTGACCCGACAAGTAATCAGGTGAGATTTATTTCTCTGCCTCCTAATTGTTGGTGTCTTGGCACAAGTCTTTTAAGGAGATATTTATTGAGCCTATTATGAAAACTGTTTGGGGGGGCGGCATATATTTAGTTCATTTATATTTAGAGCAATACATGTGAGTTTTACTTTGCCTTTCATGAGATTACCATAATCTTTCAGAACGTTTTTGTGAAAGTCATTTTTCAATCCTGGCATATTTTCTTTTGATTTCAAAGGGGCCATTCAACTATGCTGGCTTGGTTTGTAGTAAGTTGAATTTTAGTATTATTTTTCTATTATCAGTGTATGAGGCTATCAATTTACTATATATAGATACAAATTAATGATTCACAAACACTTTTTATTTCCATTTCAATTTTGCAGTGCCTTCACTGATTTGTAGTTATATTCCACCATTATTTGCTATTACTGCTAATGTTCAAATTTAGATCCTGTCAATTTAACAGCATGCTCGCTCTAGCTCTCTTTCTCATTTATCTATCTATACACATGCACACACACTTACACATGTAAGCTTTTCTCTGAGCAATTTTATTTTGATTCTTATTGGCTGGTAATATGTTTAGATCCTGTTGACTATTTCAACTTTGTCTCATTTCTTCATCCTATCAACACAGACATATTTACTGGCTTTTAACTACTGGATTTCCTTGGGAGATAAAATTTAGATGACATTTTTTCTTAAGCTCTAGATATCTTTTCCATTACTATGGTGAAGTTGCATTGAGTGGTCTGAGGAAATAATTGAATTACTGAACTGGTATTATTTCCTTTTATTCTTTTACTTTGGTGTCTGCGTTTGTATGTATGGAAGGCTTTTTAATGTAGCAAATCCATATATAGAAATGACTTGATTTTGATTCAGTGCTTCTCAAAAAGCTATTTTCAAATATGCTAAAGATGTCTATAGATTTATTCAAATAGAATAGTTTGTGAATATATAAATAGATTGAAGGTATTTGGACTTTAATGAAACTGATTTAGCTAGTATCCTTCTGGCTATTTTTTGTTCATTTTCAGTGTACTTGGGAGTCATAGATTCCTTCTTTCTTTCCTTTATAAGGTCTTTCTTATGGCAAATAGTACATTCAGTTCTTTTATTCAGACCAACTTGTTACTGAAGCTTGATAATTGCCTGACATACATGTTATCTGAAGCAATGTCTAGGAAAGTCAAATGAGGAATGGAGACTTATCTAGGGTTTTTGATCACAGGAATAATTTCCATCATCAATTCACTTAACACTCTCGCATCACTTCTAGGTATTTGCCCCAAATTACTTGCTTATTTATGTTCCCTTTCAAGTTTATTTTTCTCATTTAGAAATTTACCTTATGTCATTAGTTGTAAACTGACTATCTAGGGCTTGCACAAAAAATAATTTCAACTGTAGGAAAGGCAAGTCTTCCAACAGATGCCTACATTCGTCTTGAAGTCAAGAAAAATGTTGGGGTATTTTGAGCATCTAGAGATAGGATTTATACTTGTGGAATTCCAAACTGAGAAAATGGATGTAAGGCATTGTACTTTGACTGGAACTAAATAAAAAGGATATGAGATATTTGGCTGGGAAAAGGAGATTGTTCCATATTATAAAACCTCATCTAAACTAACTGGAAGCTTGCACCCAAGACCTTGGAGAACAAAAAGTAAGGGTTGGCTTTGAAATGTGATATTAAGATGGTTATGTTGATTTGGAGGTAGTGATAAAGTTCTGTTAAGGTATAACATATAGTCCCATTAAATAGAGGATAAAAATAAAACACCCTCACATTTCATGTTATTAAATTCCTAAGGCTACCTACTAGGCTATACCTTTATATTCTCTTTATGGTTAAAGTGTAAAACACTTAATAATCCTTTTCAGAAACCTCTTTTATAAGTGATAAGAAAGGTTTGGCTATCTTTATTCTGAATATGCCCTATATAGCTTTCAGTGCTCCTCCAGTTTTCTCTGATAAAACTAAGAGGAAAATTATCTGCACATCAGATTGAAAATAATACTGCATATCATTTCATAGTGGTCAAAATTTTCCCATACCACTTGGTGGGGATGTTTTCCCACATTGTTTTTGTTGTACATCAGGAGAGAAGACTTTGCCTAGTTCTTCCAATATGTGCATTGCTTCTGCTTAGAAAAAAAGAAACTTGGGCCGGCGCGGTGGTTCACGCCTGTAATCCCATCACTTTGGGAGGCTGAGGCGGGCGGATCACGAGGTCAGGAGATAGAGAGCATCCTGCCTAACATGGTGAAACCCCGTCTCTAGTAAAAATACAAAAAATTAACCGGGCGTGGTGGTGGGCGCCTGTAGTCCCAGCTACTGGGGAAACTGAGGCAGGAGAATGGCCTGAACCTGGGAGGCAGAGCTTGCAGTGAGCAGAGATCGTGTCACTGCACTCCAGCCTGGGCGAAAGAGTGAGACTCCATCTCAAAAAAAAAAAAAAAAAAAAAAAAAAAGGAAGAAGAAAAGAGAAGAAAAGAAAAGAAAAAAAAAAAAGAAAAAAGAAAAAAACGTTTCACTTCTCTTTACTGGGTTAATGACTGTTCTATAGGATCCCGTCTCTAAGGAATCTTCTTTGGTAGTAAACACTGGAAAATAGTCACTACCAAAACTCTTAAAGTGTCTAGTTTCCTATACATTAGTCCAACACATCAGTCTAAATTCTGAATCCTATTGAATTAGCAAAGTCTTCCCGGTGCAGTTTTCTAAATAGACTCAGAGCCCCGCTGTTGGCCAATGTGCTGCAAGAGCTGGAGCCTCGGATCTACCAGGACTATATTGTGCTCAGTCACAGAAGAAAGTCGGAAAGGAAAGTGGCCAAGACTTGGGCTTTCTGCTCCCTCAAATCTGATTCCTTACGGATTGGGGTGCCTTCAAACTGGGAGCATTGGGTTTTCTATGTGTGGAAGTAAATATTTTAAAAGCACTTTGTGAAACATTTTCTCTTAACGTCGGAGACTGCAGCAACGCACGGGAAGGATGGGAAACAGGGTGAAGCAGAGAAGCAGGACCCGGCGGCGGCAAATACTCTTCCCTTTCCTGCTGCCTTTGTTCTGCGGGATGCGCTCGGAGCAGATCCACTACTCTAATCCAGAAGAAACGGTTCGGGGCTCGGTGGTGGGGAACGTTGCTGAGGACATGGGGCTGCATGTTCAGGATTTATTGACCCGAAACCTTAGAGTTAGTACAGAGGAACAGTACTTTACCGTCAACACGGAGAATGGGAACATTCTTGTGAGTGACAGAATAGATCGAGAGTCACTCTGTCCTCAAAATCCTGTGTCATACCCTCAGAGATTGTACCAGAGAATCCTCTAAATGTTTTTCACATAAATGTGATGATAGAAGATATAAATGATAATCCACCTTATTTTCCCCAAAATAGCATTGTTTCACAAATCAATGAGCTAGCAATTCCAGGCACTCAGTTTGGCCTGGAATCTGCTATAGATGCAGATGTAGGGCTCACTGTCTCCAGAGTTACCAGCTCAGCTCTAATGAACATTTCTCTCTGATGATGGACAAGACTGAAGGCAAGAATGCTCCAGAATTAGTGCTGGAGAAGCCCCTGGACCAGGAAGGATAGAGCTCTCATCTCCTGGTCCTGAAAGCAGTAGATGGGGGTGACCCAGTCCTAACTGGCACTGCTGCAATTCAGATTGAGGTCACTGATGGCAACGATAATGCCCCAGTTTTTAGCCAGGATGTATACAAAGTCAGCCTTAGAGAGAATGTGCCCCCAGGCACCCATGTACTGAAGGTGACAGCCACTGACCAGGATGAGGATGTCAATGCAGAGATCACCTACTCTTTCAAATCCTTACCAGATGATATTGGAAATATGTTTGTGCTAGACCATCAAAATGGGGAAATTAAATCCAAAGACTTAATAGACTTCGAAATTTATAGCAGTTACACCATGAGCATAGAGGCGAAGGATGGTGGAGGCATGACCAGCGAATGTAAAATTATGCTAGAAATCCTAGATGAGAACCACAACGCCCCAGACGTGGTTTTTACTTCGGTGTCCAGTTCTGTAACTGAGGTTGCAGAACCCTGGACGGCGATCATTCTGTTCAAAACACATGATAAAGATTCGGGAGAAAATGGGGAGGTTACATGCCTCATAAACGAAAGAATTCCTTTTAGAATCGAATCTTCCGCCAATAATGACTATAAGCTTGTAACAGATGGGACCCTGGATTGGGACCCCGGAGTACAAGGTCACCATCACTGCCACTGACAGGGGCAAGCCTCCGCTCTCATCCAGCACAAGCGTCACCCTATGCATTGGTGACGTCAACGACAGTGCTCCGGTTTTCCACCAGGTCTCCTACGGGGTCCACGTGGCCGAAAACAACCCTCTCAGAGCCTCCATCACACAAGTCAGCGCCTCTGACCTGGACCTAGGGCTGAATGGCCAAGTCTCCTGCTCCATTGTTACCAGTGACTTGGAGCTGCGGGCACCGTCGTCGTACGTGTCCGTGAGTGCACAGAGCGGGGTGGTGTTCGCACAGCGCGCCTTCGAACACGAGCAACTGCGCGCCTTCGAGCAGCTGCGCACCTTGGAGTTCAAGCTGCAGGCCCACCAGGGCTCGCCTGCGCTCAGTGCCAACGTAAGCCTGTGCGTGTTGGTGGGCGACCTCAATGACAATGTGCGGCAGGTGCTGTACCCCGCGCTGGGGTCCGATGGCTCCGCACTCTTCGATATGGTGCCACGCGCCGCAGAATCTGGCTACCTGGTGACTAAGGTGGTGGCGTTGGACGCAGATTCGGGACACGAAGATTGGCTGTCCTACCACGTGCTTCAGGCCATCCAGCCCGGGCTCTTCAGCCTGGGGCTGCCCACGGGCGAGGTGCGCACTGCGCGTGCCTTAGGCTACAGTGACTCGGCCCGACAGCGCCTGCTGGTTGCTGTGCATGACGGAGGACAGCTGCCCCTCTCTGCCACCGCTACACTTCACCTAGTCTTCGCAGACAGCCTGCAGGAGGCACTGCCAGACTTCATTGACCATCCTGTGGCCTCTAATTCCCAGGCAAAGCTGCAAATTTACTTGGTCGTGGCCTTGGCCTTGATTTCTATGCTCTTCTTCCTCGCAGTGATTTTGGCGGTCGCCTTGTCCAGCCCCTCTGCCTGGGGTTGGTTTCACCCTGGCCTGTGTTCTGAGACTCGACCGGGGTTTCTCCCAACTACAATGAGGGAACTTTGCTTTATTCCTGCAATATGTATGTTCCCTCGGATTCTAGAAAAAGATGATTTAATTTTCTCACCGTGCCGGGCACAGTGGCTCAAGTCTGTATTCCCAGCACTTTGGGAGGCCGACACGGGCGGATCACGAGGTCAGGAGATCGAGACCATCCTGGCTAACACGGTGAAACCCCGTCTCTACTTAAAAAAATACAAAAAACTAGCCGGGGGAGGTGGCAGGCGCCTGTAGTTCCGGGAGGCGGAGCTTGCAGTGAACCCAGATCACACCACTGCACTCCAGCCTGGGCGACAAAGCGAGACTCCGTCTCAAAAAACAATAATAATAATAATAATAATTTTCTCACCGTGACACCAGAAACAGTCCCCCCACAAGATCTTTCTAATGAAGTTTCTCTGGTAGCAAGCTTCACTGAAGAGAATAACAAGATAAGCTCTAACTCTGTTGCTCCTACTCACCTGAGTTCCAATGAATGTCTTTCTTTTACAAATGGGTGTGGCTTAATTTTCAAACCAATATTTTGGCAAGAAAATCTTAAACATATTATATCTACTATTGCTTCAGGTTTGTTTGCTCACTCTTAATATTTCCTACTCCTTTCTGTGTGGGCGAGTAACTTCATTATTAGCTTTCAGGTATTTTGACCATTTTTACCTGATACTTTTTTTTTTTTTCGGACACAGTCTCTCTCTGTGGTCCAGGCTGGAGTGTAGTGGCTCACTGCAAGCTCCGTCTCCCAGGTTTTGGTCATTCTCCTGCCTCAGCCTCCTGAGTAGCTGGGACTACAGGCGCCCGCCACCACACCCCACAAATTTTTTGTATTTTTAGTAGAGACGTGGTTTCACCGTGTTAGCCAGGATGGTCTCTATCTCCTGACCTCGTGATCCGCCCGCCTTGGCCTCCCAAAGTGCTGCTGGGATTACAGGTGTGAGCCACTACGCCCCACCCAGAGACATTCTTTATACACACACACACACACACACACACACGTGAGAAGTGGGTATTATGATACTGCTGTCATTGAGATATTTTAATTGAAGAATGATTTTTTTTCCTGTGGTGTTTCTTGGGACATCAATATCTTGAGTATATAAGGCTTTTTCTTTAATCCATTAACTATAAATTTTGAGGAAAATGCATGAGAAAATGCTTTTTATAAAAAAAAAAATTGAGATTAAAATCTCACTATGTTGCCCAGGCTGGACTCAAACTCTTGGGCGGTGGCAATCCTCCCACCTCAATCTCCAGAGTAGCTGAGACTACAGTTGCCTGACACTGTGCCTGGCAGAGAAAAAAGCTTAAAAAAATAAGAACATGGTAATGCTTTGATAATATTCAGTTACGTTTACTTGTGATTCTTGTAATTCAAGAAAACTCAATTTTGCGTTTGATCTTTTCTCACAGCTACCTATATATTTCTTCCCAATTTAAAATATATTATTTTATTTTATGCCTAGCAAACATCTTATCCTTACAGTATAAATATTTGTGCTCATGAAAGTACAGTAGCCAGTTATTTCTTAGGCAGAATTTTTTCCCTATATTTTGATGGGCTTCCAAAAGTATTACCAGTAATTCTCAGTAATTACAATTAGGTCAGTTACCCAGGAAAAGGTAAGTGTAACATTCTTTGGACTACCAATTTTCTTTTACTAAGTTTCCTCAACACTTAATATTTTTGAAATATAATGTATTAATAGAATCCTGGAGTACTTCCGTTATTTCCAGTCAATGCAAGTTGGAATACTTCCACTTTATGCTAAAAATATAAATGTTTCTTTTTCACTTGGGTTCTTGTTAAGTGTGATTCTGATAATGTATACAATCACATATCTCATTTTTAGGTTTCCATATTTTCATGAAAATTTGATTTTTAAGCGTTAAATTTCAACAACCTGGTAAAGTAATCCTTCCATTCAGGTTTGTTCAAGGAATCTATTTAAAAACGTTTTCCTCAAATTATAGCTGAATCAGAAAGTTTAAATTATTCTATTATATGATATGTCAAAAAAGAGAAACTCCTCGAGAGACATCCCCCATGATAAGTGTATTGGGGGAACAGTAATCTCAAAGCAGATGCACTAAAATTATAAGATTAAAATCATTGTTTACAGAAACTTCCAATTCATTTAAAAGCTCATTGGGGGAAAAAAAAAAAGCTCATTGGGTGGAAAAAAAAAAAGCTCACTGAAGTTTCTTCTAAAGCGAATACTGTAGATTTCCATCCCCTTTTGAAGAACAGTAGGTGGAGCTATTTAAGATATAAAAACGAAATATCCTTTCTGGAAGTTCAAGATTGTGCAGTAATTGGTTAGGACTCTGAGCGCCGCTGTTCACCAATCGGGGAGAGAAAAGCGGAGATCCTGCTCGCCTTGCACGCGCCTGAAGCACAAAGCAGATAGCTAGGAATGAACCATCTCTGGGACTATGAGGAAACAATGGAGGAGCTCTGACTTCCAAACTGTCCCATTCTAGGGGCGAAAGAACTGCTCCTGACTTCAGTGATTAAGGGCACAATTGAAAATAATTCTGGAGGAAGATGAGAATGATTCCTGAGCGACCGCACCGGGACTGCAAAGATCTGGTCCTGCTGGGAATCCTCCTGGGGATTCTGTGGGAGACCAGATGCACCCAGATACGCTATTCAGTTCCGGAAGAGCTGGAGAAAGGCTCTAGGGTGGGCGACATCTCCAAGCACCTGGGGCTGGAGCCCCGGGAGCTGGCGGAGCGCGGAGTCCGCATCGTCCCCAGAGGTAGGACGCAGCTTTTTGCCCTGAACCCGCGCAGCGGCAGCTTGGTCACGGCGGGCAGGATAGACCGGGAGGAGCTCTGTATGGGGGCCATCAAGTGTCAATTAAATCTAGACATTCTGATTGAGGATAAAGTGAAAATATATGGAGTAGAAGTAGAAGTAAGGGACATTAACGACAATGCGCCTTATTTTCGTGAAAGTGAATTAGAAATAAAAATCAGTGAAAACGCAGCCACTGATATGCGGTTCCCTCTACCCCACGCCTGGGATCCGGATATTGGGAAGAACTCTCTCCAGAGCTACGAGCTCAGCCCGAATACTCACTTCTCCCTGATCGTGCAAAATGGAGCCGACGGTAGTAAGTACCCCGAATTGGTGCTGGAACGCGCCCTGGACCGCGAAGAAAAGGCTGCTCACCACCTGGTCCTTACGGCCTCGGATGGGGGCGATCCGGTGCGCACAGGCACCGCGCGCATCCGCGTGATGGTTCTGGATGCGAATGACAACGCGCCAGCGTTTGCCCAGCCCGAGTACCGCGCGAGCGTTCCGGAGAATCTGGCCGTGGGCACGCAGTTGCTTGTAGTCAACGCTACTGACCCTGACGAAGGAGTCAATGCGGAAGTGAGGTATTCCTTCCGGTATGTGGACGACAAGGCGGCCCAAGTTTTCAAACTAGATTGTAATTCAGGGACAATATCAACAATAGGGGAGTTGGATCACGAGGAGTCAGAATTCTACCAGATGGAAGTGCAAGCAATGGATAATGCAGGATATTCTGCGCGAGCCAAAGTCCTGATCACTGTTCTGGACGTGAACGACAACGCCCCAGAGGTGGTCCTCACCTCTCTCGCCAGCTCGGTTCCCGAAAACTCTCCCAGAGGGACATTAATTGCCCTTTTAAATGTAAATGACCAAGATTCTGAGGTAAACGGACAGGTGATCTGTTTCATCCAAGGAAATCTGCCCTTTAAATTAGAAAAATCTTACGGAAATTACTATAGTTTAGTCACAGACATAGTCTTGGATAGGGAACAGGTTCCTAGCTACAACATCACAGTAACCGCCACTGACCGGGGAACCCCGCCCCTATCTACGGAAATTCACATCTTGTTGAACGTGGCAGACACCAACGACAACCCGCCGGTCTTCCTTCAGGCCTCCTATTCCGCTTATATCCCAGAGAACAATCCCAGAGGAGCTTCCCTCGTCTCCGTGACCGCCCACGACCCCGACTGTGAGGAGAACGCCCAGATCACTTATTCCCTGGCTGAGGACACCGTCCAAGGGGCACCCCTATCGTCCTACGTGTCCATCAGCTCCGACTCTGGGGTACTGTATGCGCTGAGCTCCTTCGACTACGAGCAGTTGCGAGACTTGCAAGTGAAAGTGATGGCGCGGGACAACGGGCACCCGCCCCTCAGCAGCAACGTGTCGTTGAGTCTGTTTGTGCTGGACCAGAACGACAATGCGCCCGAGATCCTGTACCCCGCCCTCCCCACAGACGGTTCCACTGGCGTGGAGCTGGCGCCCCGCTCCGCAGAACCCGGCTACCTGGTGACCAAAGTGGTGGCGGTGGACAAAGACTCAGGCCAGAACGCCTGGCTGTCCTACCACCTGCTCAAAGCCAGCGAACCAGGACTCTTCGCGGTGGGGCTGCACACGGGCGAGGTGCGCACAGCGCGAGCCCTACTGGACAGAGATGCGCTCAAGCAGAGCCTCGTGGTGGCCGTCCAGGACCACGGCCAGCCCCCTCTCTCGGCCACCGTCACGCTCACGGTGGCCGTGGCCGACAGCATCCCCAAAGTCCTGGCGGACCTCGGCAGCCTCGAGTCTCCAGTTAATTCTGAAACCTCGGACCTTACGCTGCACCTGGTGGTGGCGGTGGCCGCGGTCTCCTGCGTCTTCCTGGCCTTCGTCATCGTGTTGCTGGCGCTCAGGCTGCGGCGCTGGCACAAGTCACGCCTGCTGCAGGCCTCAGAAGGCGGCTTGACAGGAGCCCCGGCGTCGCACTTTGTGGGCGTGGACGGGGTGCAGGCTTTTCTGCAGACCTATTCCCACGAGGTCTCCCTCACCTTGGACTCGCGCAAGAGTCACCCGATCTTGCCCCAGCCCAACTATGCAGACACGCTCGTCAGCCAGGAGAGCGGTGGAAAAAGCGAGTCCCTTTTGCTGTCAGGTGATTCGGTATTTTCTAAAGACAGTCGTGCGTTAATTCAGGTGAGTTTATACCAAATCTTTTCTTTCTTTCTTTCCTTCTTTCTTTCTTTCTTTCTTTCTTTCTCTCTCTCTCTCTCTTTCTTTCCTCTCTTTTCTCTCTTTTCTCTCTTTCCTTTCTTTTCTTGTTCTGTCGCCCACGCTGGAATGCAGCGGCACGATCATAGCTCACTGCAACCTCAAACTCCTAGGCTCAAGCAATTCTCCCGCCTTCTCCTCCGGTGTAACAGGGACTACAGTTGCAAGCCACAGCCCTGCTGTCTATCTGTCTATCTATCTGTCTGTCTGTCTATCTATCTATCTATCTATCTATCTATCTATCTATCTATCTATCTATCTATTACTTTCTTGTAGAGACAGGAGTCTCACTATGTTGGCCAGGCTGATCTGGAACTTGGGCTCAGGTGAGCCTCCTGCTTCACCCTCCATAAGTGCTGGGATTAGGGGCGTGAACCACAGTGCCCCGCCCTTATCAAATATTCTTTTCTGAGCCTGGAGAAATATATCCCTTAGCACATCTGGAATTTATAAAGCAGACATCAATAAATTTATACATATGTGACAGAGACCAACAACAATCCAGCCACCTTCCCTCATAGCTTATTTATGTACATATATTTTACATGATAGATATAATTTATTAACAATTTATAACATTAATACTCTATATCATTTTCTAGCTTAATTTATCAATGGTAATGCTCTTTTCCCACTTTTAATTTTTTTCCCATTGACCATGCAGCAGTTTTGTGTAGAACATCTGATAACAACTGATCTGTTTATCTAGAGGGGAGAAATCTAATTCAATGGAAAATATAAATAAAATTTTAGTAAACTTTTATAAATAGAGTGGCTTTTAACTACACTTGAGATTGCTAGCAAATTCATAAAGTGAATTTAGTTTCTTTCAAAGTGCAGTAATTCTTTCTGGCCATTAGGGATATGTCCATTTATACTTTCTCAGTATCCCAAGTCATTTCATGGTTTTAAATCATTTATGAACTTCCAAATATAGTGAATTTATTTCTTCTGCATTTAAAATTTTATCACTTAAATATACAATATCCTGTATTGCCATGACAAAAAACAGTAAAGACTATTTTTCACTTCTGTTATGCATTTCATTAATACAATATCTGTGTGTGTTTCCAAGTTAGACATTTCTTTTGCCCATTTCCTACATTAATGATATTAATGATGACTTTGTGGAATATTCAGAATTAACAAAATGTGTTTTGAGTACTTTTTTAGTACTGGGGCAAATTTGCAGTAATTTCCCCTGCTTTCTATATTAAATTCCCCATAACTATTACAACTAAGGGAAAATTTCTGAAACGTGCACAGATTCTAAGTGTTTTCTGAGAACTTTATGCTTATTGTAGAGTGTTTACAGATACTGAATGCTAAAGTGTATTACTCTTTGAAAAGCATTGCCTGATTTCTTTTGGTGAGTTCTGTAAAGGTGTAGGGAAACATAACATCCCAATTATTTTTTCTTTCTTCTTTGTTTGCTGCCTGTCTACTGTGAAACATACAAAACATACAATAATTAAAACTCAGAAAAGAGATTGGATACCACTTAGAGAATGAAAGACATCCAAAGGCTCTAAAATGAGGCAGTTGCTGCTTCTGAGACCAAAAAAGGGGACAAAATATAGAGTGTGTGGTTCTACTTGTGTGATTTTTTGAAAGAAAGTATTTGAATTTATCTAAACATTCTAAATTTGTGTTTACATTAGTTTTCAAATAAAATTTAATAAGTACAGTGTTCTATAGGTAATATTGAAAGAAATAGAGGACAATGAACCCTCCCTTCTCCATTGTCTTGTAGGAACTACCAAAATGTTTATCACATGGACAGTTCTCATATGTAGTCAAATAGAAAGAAAGACATAATAGGAAAACAAATGATTTGGAAAGCTAAGCTAACATGGTCTAATTATTCTGACCTCTGTTCACCTAACTTGATTTAGGAACAAATCATTGAGAGTTAGAGCATAATAGTCAAGACCTTTAGACGATATCTCAAATATCAGTGATTTCAATCAACTATGTTTCCAGTTTGAGCTGAATAGACTTTATTAAATATTTGTTGAATGAATGGATAAACAAATAATGTACTCTGGGGATTACCTGATACCAGGATTTTGAATTTTCAGATAAGTCGTAGAAGGACAGCAGCTTTGCCATTAGCTAACTTCTTAACTGTGTCACCTTTAGAAAGTTATTTAATCTCTTTGAGCTTCAGCAAAGTAGAAATAATCATATCTAATTTGAAAGGTCCTGGTGATGGCTAGAGCTAACAAAAATCATCTGATTCACAGCATGCAATTAGTTAACGGTAGCCATTTTTAGTGGTTGACCAAAAAAAAAAAGGATTTATATTTTCAAGGCCAGCACACTCGATGTCCTGTTGGGAAAAGTAATAATGATTTTTGTGCTTCTCCATGTGGTACAATGGAATGATTTGTGGATGGAACTAAACTATTCTAAAATTTTTTGAAAGCTGGTTTAGAAATCTTAAGTGCCTAGGTACATTCTTGATTGAGAAGCCACAGTTTTAGGCCATAAAAGATGGGGAAAATATTTTTGTATGAGACAATTTTGTGAGTGTTACTTTTTCTTTGTCTGAACCATAGTGAAATCTAAACAAGGATCCTAGGAAACTTATTTTAAAGAAGCAGTTTACTTCAGTGGGATCTTAGATAATTTCGCCAGAAAATGGATCACCGAAACCTGAAGGCTGGTGATCATTATTTGGTTTAGGCCGTATAAGAACTGAAACTAATGGCTTACCTTTAGGATTTTTAGGACACTTGTTGATAATTTAGGATTGGTAATTAAGATATGTGTTGATTGTTTTCTGAGACTAACTGGGCAATGGGTTTGGATATGTTTACATTTCTTCTGATTCCAGTCATAAAATTATGTCAAGGACTTTTCTTGTCTTCTTATGTGTATGACAGGTGGATATGTATCCATTTCATCTAATAAGTTAAAGCGTTCAGCTATAATTTAAAATTTTTAGCTTCACTGTTTTATAGAACCTAAAATTGGAACGTAATCAGTCAGAAGACATTCTTCCACTGCTTTCTTTCCAGAAGTATTATGCTTTTTGAAGCAGCAATAGCATAGGAATGTTAAGGAAACTATACAACACTTTTATAGTGTATTTAATCTCATACATCACTTTTCAATAAATTATAAGGCTAATGACAAATGAGCGAAGTGTATCAGTTTTCTTTATGACATGTAACAGTATAGCTGTGATCAAGAATTGAATAATTCTGGTGCAAAATCTTCTTTATCCTCATATAAGATGTCAGGTTTAGAAAAGCAAACACATAGTTTCGAAGGGATGTTGATCAAACTGATGAGGCTAAATCTCAAGAAAGAGACACAGTTACTCTCTAATGCTACACTTTGAGTTTTCACTTTTTTTTTTTTTTTTTTTTTTTGAGACAGAGTCTCGGTCTGTCACCAAGCTGGAGTGCAGTGGCACTATCTCAGCTCACTGCAACTTCTGCCTCCCGGGTTCAAGTGATTCCCCTGCCTCAGCCTCCCGAGTAGCTGGAACTACAGGCGCGCCACTACACCCAGCTAATTTTTGTATTTTTAGTAGAGATGGGGTTGGCCAGAATGGTCTCGATCTGTTGACCTTGTGATCCACTCGCCTCGGCCTCCCAAATAGCTGAGATTACAGGTGTGAGCCACTGTGCCCGGCCACTTTGAGTTCACTTTTAAGAAACCATACTTAATGGAAAATTACCAATAACAGGGCATACTGTTTAGGATGCATTCCTAAAATATTGATGGCAAAAGATAGCCAGCCTTTGGCAAAGCTAATTGGAAAAAATATTTTATAAAGGCTGAGACTTCTGGATAGCATAAGGGAAGGGCTCTGGTTCAGGAAAATGTTTTTAAAAAACTGTCATTGAAGAGACCATAGAATCAAACAAAATAGTTTAATCTGTATGTAAAAGAAGTTAGTACCACCATAATTTTTCTTAGACATGTCATATAAGGATCTACTCTGTGTACTGTCATTGAGGGCAGATATAATTTCTTAGTTCATCATTAGCTCTCTGAAGTATTTCACACAGTAGTTTGTACACCTTCTAAGTTCTCAATGCAATACTTGAGTTCGATTATTGGAAAGTGGTCTCAGAGAAAAAAAGAATCATAGTGCAAAACCAATTATTTTACACGGGCTTTTCCTTTATATCTAAACCCTAACAAAAGGCAGCTGTCTGACTTATCTTTTTTGGGGGGGGGGGGGGCGGGAGGATGGAGTCTCACTCTGTCACCCAAGCTGGAGTGCAAGTGGTGCGATCTCAGCTCACTGCAACCTCTGCCAACCGAGTTCAACCTCTGCCTCCCGGGTTCAAGCGATTCTCCTGCCTCAGCCTCTCCAGTAGCTGGGATTACAGGCACCCACCACCATGCCCGACTAATTTTTAAAAATATTTTTAGTAGGCTGGGCACGGTGGCTCACGCCTGTAATTCCAGCATTTTGGGAGGCCGAGGCAGGTGGATCATGAGGTCAGGAGATCGAGACCATCCTGGCTAACACGGTGAAACTCCGTCTCTACTAAAAATACAAAACGAAAATTAGCCGGGTGTTGTGGTGGGTGCCTGGGTGGCTGAGGCAGGAGAATGGCGTGAACCCGGGAGGCGGAGTTGCAGTGAGCGGAGATCGCATCACTGCACTCCAGCCTGGGCGACAGAGTGAGACTCGTCCCAAAAAAAAAAAAAAATTTTTTTTTAATAGAGACAGGGTTTCACCAAGTTGGCCAGGCTGCTCTTGAACTCTTGACCTCAGGTGATCCACCTGCCTCAGCCTCCCAAAGTGCTGGGATTACAGGCATGAGCCACTGGATCCTGCCAACTGTCTGACTTATCTTAAAAGGCTAAGGACCTGGTTTGTTTGTCAAATTTTGAAAATAGACGCCTCAGTTCATAAGATTTCCATATTGTGTGGCAGGCACCTGTTATCCCAGCTACTCAGGAAGCTGAGGCAGGAGAATCACTTGCACCTGGGAGACAGAGGTTGCAGTGAGCTGAGATCATGCCACTGCACTCCAGCCTGGGCGACACAGTGAGACTCTGACCAAAAAAAAAAAAAAAAAAATCCATATTGTGAAACCTCTTAGAAGCTTCCTATATAATTTCAGCTGAAGATTCAGCCAACAATTCATTCTGAGACTGTGTTCCA